GGAATAAAGTGTAAACACTCAAATGTTGTGTTGGACCTCATGATGACGATTCGAGAATGTTAGGGATCAATTGAATAAATTAGAAGTCAAAAAGAAGTGAAAAATGACCAACATATTTCACAAATCAATTTTCAATTGTACAAGAATGTTTTAGATTTTTAGTCAAAGATTGAGATCCATTTTTGGCCTAGTAAAAGTTCGAATTAGGAAAAGCTATTTCTAGTAAAATTTTAGCAATTTGAGTTATCTTCACAACTTAATTTAAAACGCCTCAATTGGATATCGAGAGAGAAAGTCATGACAAAAATACAAAAGGAGGTGCAGTGTTGAGTTTTCCTAAGAGGTGGTGCTGCCATGGCACTGAAGCGCAACCCAATATAACTTCTTGGTTCTGTGACGCTACATACTAGATGTGTCTAAGGTGCATTTTTGCCCATTTTAAAGCCCATTAAAACACTAAGAATGGGAGTATACATACAAGATGGAGACACTTTTGAGGAGTTCCACACATTGAGATACACAAGAATATAACTTAGAGATTGAGAGAGCAAAATTAGAGAAAAACCAGAAATCAAGAATTAGGAGTTGAAATCATGATCTGAGAAGAAGAACTTGGTGCAAGATTCATCCACTTCTCCGCATATCAATTCAAAACCCAGTGATATACTTCAATGTTGTTAATTGTCTCTCTTCTAATATTATGGGTAGCTAAACTTTCCATCAGGGCTAACAATATAATTTATTGAGACCATTTATTTCTTTTGTACAAGATTTAAGTTCTTTCATTATATATGCATTGATTTTATTATCTATTTAATGTCATGAATTACTTGATCACTTATTCAATGATTTTGTAAATTTATTACAAATTGAGGGCTGAGTTTTAGATTTAGACAACATATTAAAATTTGATAATTTAGTATAACGACTAGAGATACGTATACTAATTACTACAATAATTATATGAATTCTTAGACCTAATATTTTGTTTAACTAAGAATTGATTCGCATAGAGATATGTGA